AAAAGGTTTTGCTACAAGGCGGGAAATTATGTGAAATGAAAACTTCGCGAAGTGGCGATATAATGTAATAGTTAGCGCTTTAAAAAAGAGAAAGGAATGGAAATTACCCCAAGTAAAACATGTGTAGGGTTTAATAATCCAAATGGATATATTATCTGCCAGAAAGACGAGCAAAATACACTAGTGGCGCTGTTTGAAAAATAAGAGATTTTCCCGAGCCAGTAGGAAGAATAACAAGGACATCTTTTCCAAGAACAATCTCTTTAAGAGCCTTTTGCTGTATTTCTCTAAATTCGTCCAAGCTAAACGACTTCAGAGCGTTCAAACGAGAATCTCAAACGACGAATTGTCCGCCATTTTGTTACACTGCGACGACGGCTGCCTGCTAATTTATTAATGATATGCCCCTGAAAATATCGGGGGCCATTCGCTGATTGGTCGAGACTGACAATAGCGAACCCCATGCGCCCAGCCGTCAGGGGAGAGAATATCGCGGGCGCACGAAATCCCGACGACTGGAGACTGAGCCTATCTTGCACTAGCACTAAAACAAATATTGGAAATGACATCCCATTTCTGATATATTCTATATATACTTGAAGTATGAGCAAAAAGGACCATAATTTCTGCATTTTGCTGTATTTAGATTATATAAAACAATATATTAATGAACAATGTCAATTGTGTAGATTAATGTTTACTAACGTGTCACTGTCAACAGATGGATGACACAAGGAAGGAAGGGAACTGTGCAACATAAATACCACTAAATACTGCTAAAATATGCTAATTCTTTTGACTCTTTTAGTGTTTGTACTSTAGCATTGAATAATGCAAAAGCTCAGTTAAATATTAATAAACGACTACGCGAGCTAGACTATAACTTGCTGTGACTACTTGTTCCCTGAAGGGAAGTTTGAGTCTGCCGAAGGAGATTTTGAACGCCATTTCTGGGTTTATTTGTTCCCMTAAYGGAATTGAAGAACGHCGCCYGCACTGAGGTCTTGTGTAATATTAAAGCCAAGCRAAGCAATCGGACTTTTGTTAGCAAACAAACCACATCAAGCGTCCCAAAATCTGAAATATGTTTTTAGAAATACAAATTTAACTGCAAATGGATAGAAATTTGTGCCTAGTTCTAGACACAAAATAGTTTGAATACATTTGTATTGTGATAAAAGAACAACAAACTCACCTTCGAAAGCACGAACACGTCGCTAGAGAACGCACATGATCAGGACAACGATCACATGTTCAAATAACCGCTAGGAACTCCTGCTTCAATTGGAATGGTTACAACTCACTCAGACCCGATGACATAGTGACGAAGCATTCCCAGAAGGCCTTCGTCACAAAAACTTCAAGATAACATCGTTTGTGTTGCAGTCGGCGAAGCTCACTGCATCGAACAATCGTAATTATGTAACGGAAGAAAATTGAACAAATTCAATGGGAAAACAAATTGGTAATTTACTGTATAGAATTGGGAATATTTGAAAATAACAAGCTTTAACATATCATGTCATAACTTAAACATAGCGAGTTAGGTTAGAGTTTTTCTTGAGGTTACYTGTTGCAAGTTATCTATAATTCAGTAGCGTCACTATCTGGAAACAAGCGACGCCCAKGAACTGCAAAGTGCTAAAAGTTACTGGTAGCACCAGTTGGACACTTTACTTAGCGTCATAGTTCCAGCCAATAGTGTTTTGCGTATGTTAGGCCATCTTCGCTGTTATCATTGTGATTGGATGTTAAGCTTTACGCGTCGTTAGTTTATGATTGTTTTGGCTAACAAATAACTTTAGGTAATTAATATTGTATGAGGGATCTAGTATAAATCGAACCCAAGCTTTATTGCAATTTAGAGACCAACTAGCCGTGTGCTAGAGTACTGTTATTCAAGATTAAAGAAAGGTTAAAGTGAAGTTTACTCCGTGCTCTGTCTCCAAGTCTCGTGCCATCTCGTAGGGTAAAAGTCAGATTACGGGCCCACGCCATTCGAGTCGCTGCTACCGAAGCTAGCCCGCCCCGAGTTCCGCAGAAACACATACAAAATATTTACCGTAACAATTATGCCAGTAAATGTTTTTGTTAGACGTAGTGTTCCATCAAGTTTGCCTAATCTTATAAATGTAAATAAAAAATTAGATATTATCTTCATGTGAAAGATAGTCTTCAAGTACCTATAGTACTTATAAAGATTATCAAGCCATTAAAACAAGGAAGTATTTTTCCTCATTTGCAGTTGCCATTAAGTTAAATAATAATACGTTTTCCCCAACTCGTTTTTAATTGGTTCATGCCGGCTCATGCGCATGCAAGTTCTTCTGGACCTTTTTCCCCGAGAGAGGCCCGTTAACCGAGCGGGTCGAAAAGTTGCTGGGACTGGACTAAGGCTCTTGAAAATTCGTTCAAATTCACCGGAAGTGAAAATAACAGATGTGAGTGACTTTTCTACCCTTGTATAGAAGACATAGAAGACACACTTAGCCCGTGAAACGAATACTACTAAGTGTTGTTTGGACGATAAAATCAAAGTAATGGGGACCTGTGTTTTGCCTAATCTAATGGTTTATTGAACATGCTCTTAATTTTCCTTAACGTATTTAATAATCACGAACGTTGTCAACATTGAGTTCTAGCTAATTGATTTCTTCTAATGTATAACAAAACAAACTGCGTTAAACAATAATTAAAATAAAGAATCAAAAATAACAAAAGAACCCGATGATAATAAAGTCTAATAATTATTGCCCTTTAGAATTTACTACAGCTATTTTTAATCCTTGCTTATCAGTCCTGCAAAATTAGAGCAAAGCCATCTAGCTACGAGAATTTAGCTTGCTGGACAAACTGGATCACAGCAAACAACGCTGTCATATCGGTGTCTGAATTTGCAAGCAAACTTTCTTGCTGTGAAATCCAAAGTACAGCCAAGTAAATTATAAACAGAATTACTTCCAAACTGCACAGCTTTGCAATTCAATTTCCACTTTAAAGGCTTGCAATGTGTGGGAGTATTCACGGTGCAAAGTGGCCAAAGGTTAGGAATGATCTTGGTTATTCCTGCAATGAAAGTGCAATCTTTTATACCAATTTTTTAGCAATCGCAATCGTACATGTAAGTAAAGGTTTGAATCATTTTAAGGTAGATAGCTCCATATAATATTTTTCTAAAACAACGATTTGAAGATTTTTTTTTTTTTGATGACGTCATTGCATATTTTTGTGCACATGATTTGGATTCTAAATAACCCAAAAATTCCGAAGACCAAGTTTCTGGACTTTTTTATATGTTTTTAGTTCCCTTATGAGAACTTTTCATGCAGAAAATACAGCCGTTCTGCCTGACAGATTTCCTTTAATTATATAGCGAAGCAAATTCCGTTATATCTGAAATTAGTCACACTCACGAGACAAACTAAACCACCAGTTGGATTTCGAGTTGGATTTTCGAGTTGGATTTTGAGTTGGATTTCGTGTTGGATCTCGAGTTGGATTTCAAGGTTGGATTTTTGCTAAAATCAGTATATCTTTAATAATTATTGAGTCATGAGAGTCATTGAGAAAATACGAATTTTTCGCAATTGTTTGTTAGAAAACGCGTTACAGCATGGTCTCATTCAAAATTAATCTCGAAAACGAGCTCGGGACTATGCACTTTTCTTTTTGTATTCTTGTACTTCGACAAGAACCACTAGGTGGAACTTACCGTGCCCAGATCAATTAAGAGGACATGGCGTAATACAGTCAGTACCGTAGCAGTTATCGATATGTGCTATTAAGATTTTTCGCTTTTTTTGTCCTAAGTTTACTGCTGGACGAATAGTAAGTGGTTAGTTGAAGGTCATAAAATTATCTTCTGTCGTATATATTGTTTCTTTATATGAGTGTAATATTTAATTTCGCTCAATTTTGGTTGTCATTTTGCTTGTGGTCCTGAGACATTTCAGAATAGTTGAGGTGACGTTTTTGACACCATTTTTTGTGGTAGGCAAAGTCTCGCAAAATAACAACGTTACAGTGTGAAATCGATGTCAAATAATTCCAGTTATGAGTGTGCAAACCACACGGCACGGCACAAACGAAACTTATAGAGAGTTTTTCGTTTGACTATCAAAATACGGCAGCTTTTCCGAATGTTGTTTAATGCACAAGTCAGTTGAAACCCCCGCCCCCGCCCCCCGGGAATACCGGGGAATTTAACGCCTTGAGTGGTGTTAAAATAAGACATTTCCCCCGGTAGTCGGGTCACATTTATTGTTAAAATCCCAGCTACTGTTGCCCCACTATTTTGGTCTAGTATTAAATAACAAAACAAAAACCTTTCAATCAAATTTTTTGTGATACACAGGGGTTTTTTTTAAATCCTTTGTACTCATTTGCGTACTACATGAGGGTATTTGGACGGAGAAAAACGTGTAATAAATTTCTTTTAAAAATCTTTCATGCCAGAAAAAATAAACAAATAAAAAAGCAGGGTTGAATACAAATGCCTTCAAGATTTTCGACCTCTAGTTTCCAGCCTTATACATGTTCAAACGCGCGTTAATATACCCGCTGTTTGCCCCGCTAAGAAAAAAATTTACCAAAATTCCGACCCCCCGGGGTAATCTTGCTGTTAAAAGCACGTTAAAAACGCGTCACGCCCCAGTCCAGTACCCCGCTAGCCCCGTGGGTCGGGGGGCGGGAGTTTCAATTGACTAGTGTATAATATATAAATTACGACAAGGTCACAGCACGGCAACGTTCGTTTCATACGAGTAATCCTCTAAGTAGTCAGGACCCTCAATCGAAGGTGTTTTTATGGTCTGTACGCTTATGAACTGATCAAATCTCAGAAAACATTAGAGTTGTCCATTTATTACAGCCATTCCCAAATGAAGACGTTTAGAATCAAACAATCAGAGTTTGATGTTGAATGTATCAAAATTATAATAATTATAAATATGCGCGCATATCAAAGAATTGCCCCACAAAAGTTGTCCTTCGTTTAGCAGCCATATATGGTAATCTTACCTTATTTGGAATTACAATAGGAATGTTTTTTGGCGATTTTCTCGACTTTTAAAGCATGAAATCGTCTGAAACTTGCAGATATTATAGTGAAAACACTTCATCGGCCATTTTGTGTGTTTCCATATATGGCAGGGATTCGCTAAAAAAATTAATCGCATGCTGGCCCCCAAAACTATTTCAAAATCACAATGACTTAAGTCACGACGTTGTTATTCACGTCCCAAAAGGAAGTTTAATTTAAAGCAAGTTTTAAATTTTAATTTAAAGCAAGTTTTAAATCTTATATATTACTGGTCAATAGCTATACAAATTATTCCCGGAAGACGCCCTCCGTTAAGAGATGAAACGCGTAGGAAAATTATTACTATTCAGTTCTCCCAAGTGCTGCTCACTAGTCTTAGTTAAAAATTTCCTAAAAAAATATCGTGTTCTATAGAAAACTCAAAATCCTGCTAAAAATCCAACTCGAAATCCAACTCGAGGTCCTAACTTGGCGTTTAGGTAACGTCAACACTCACACTCTACAGTCAACTTTTTTTTCTTTGTTTGCTATTCCTAAATTGGATGACGTGATGTATTTAAAAATCTTTCTTTCTTTATGATTACGATTAAAATGCAGTACTTGTCACATTTAATAACTTTTTAAGAGTATAAATGAGCTACACACACAACTATGAAAACAAAATTATCATCTGAAAAAATCTTGGGCATTTATCACGGAAAACAACAGAATAGTGTTCTTTAAAAAAAAACCATCTCCAACACGACTTGAAAAGACATACAGAAATATAATATTATTAAAGAGCAATTTAGCAAAAAATGAATATTTGCAATTGAAGGGTTTTTCAGGAATCCCAAGGGTTCTAATTCTACTGCAAATATGCAAAAATACAAGGCTTTGGGCTTAATGATTGCTTCCCAGCATGCAATGAAGGCTTTGAAAACAAAAAAATAGAAGCACTAGAGTTTTGTGCAATAATGCACGAATGAACAATGAACACTTATTTTCATTATTTTAATCTTAATTTATTATTACCTTATATGGAATTAATATATGTAAATTTATGCCTTGGACGTATAAAAAACAAGGTTTTGCCAGTAAAACTCACTTAACAACACAACGCTTCGTGGTCTATATTCGATTTATTCCACAAAAATGTTGCCGTGACCAGTCGAATCTGCAGCAACGTAATGACAGAGTCCGAGAAGTTGGAGGATTTGTTGAAAATTGCGGTTAATAGACGTGGAAATTTACGTCGACTCTTCACAACTCAAAGCAAAAAGATTCAAAGTTTATTTAAGGAGGGAAATATCGAGTCTCTGAAAATTGCACATCGTAAATTGACTGAAGCTAGGCCAGAAATTCAACAGCTCGACAGAGAAATCCAAAGACTATTTGTTTTACTTGTAATGAAAAGGAAGCAGCTTGTGACAAAGATTTTGAAGAGGCGGACGCGATATCGGATGACCACGCGGTCGTGCTCAGTCAACTGGAAAAAGTACTACAACAAGCGAAGTCATCGCATAAAAAAGAATTTAAACATTCTTCTTTGAAATTACCTAAGATAGTTCTTCCTGCATTTCACGGAGACCGACGAAAATTACTCAGTTTTTGGGATGTTTTACGAAGCGATGTTCATGAAGTAGAAGATATCTCAAAAGTGACGAAGTTTAACTTCTTAAAGGGTCAACTTTCCGACATAATTAAAAAGAGAGTCGAAGGAATCATGGCAAGCGACGATAATTACGACCTTCTGGTGCAAACTTTGGTCGATAACTACGGAAATAAGACGTCCATCAAGAATGCCCATTGTGTTGCTCTTGTGTCTATTTCTAAACCACAGTACATTCTATGAAGTTTCAACGTACAGTGACACAATGGGAACTTGTTGCCATGGAGATAGGTGCTAGACATGGTGAAACGATCAAGAATATCTTCAAAGATGATTATCCGAACATTGTAACTCATTATTGGACTGACTCTTTGATCTGTTTACAGTGGCTGGATTCCAGAAAATGGCTCAAGGTTTTCGTGCAGAATCGGAAAGCAGCAATTCTGAAGCTAACTGACGTCTCAAGTTGGACACATGTTAGATCAGCTGACAATCCAGCTGATATATTGGCTCGTGGATGTACTACGAAGGAGTTGGAGAAGTCCAAATTATGGAGAAAGGGCCCATCATGGTTACCAAGTCATCGCACCCAATCATCCAAGCAGTCGATTACCCTGGCAGAAGATGAAGAGATGGTTTTCTTCTCATCACCAGCTGTAGCAGAAGAGATAGTTTTCGTCTCATCGTCAGCTGTAGCAGAAGATTATGACCACGTAGAACCCAAACCAAGACCTTTCAGTGAGTTATTTGATGTTGCTAACTTCCTTTGATCACCTACTTCGAGTTATGGCATATTGTTTACGCTTCATTGCGAAATTAAAGAGGGCAGCAGCTGGAAGACAAAAAGGTACGAAAACTAAGTTAGAATCACATGTTAGTGATTGTGTACAAGTTCCAACATCAGAAGAAATAGCTGCTGCTGAATATGTTATCCTCAAACTGCATCAAGCAGAACATTTCAAACATGAACTCAATTATCTCGAAGATATGCAACACAATTCTCAGAAACCTAAACCAAATTTAGTTCGTCAGCTTAATCTGATGCTTAATGAAGATGGTCTAATTGTAGCCCGTGGGAGACTTGAACATAGCAATATTCAAAAGGAGTCAAGGGAACCAATTTTGATAGCTAAGAGTCAGTTAATAACATTGTTAATCCAATCAGTTCACAACAGGCAACTTCATGCAGGAATCGGTGGAACAGTTGTCGCATTACGTCGTAGGTTCTGGCTCCCTTCTGCTCGCCAAGTTGTGAAATCTATTCTAAGGAAATGCGTCAATTGCAGGTATCAGGAAAGCAAACCTTATCTCCTTCCACCTTCACCACCTCTTCCAGACTTTCGCCTCAACAGCACTAGACCATTCCAAGTTGTAGGAATTGACTTTACAGGACATTTGACTGTCAAGACAAATGGTAAGAATCGAAGCAAATGT